AGAAGATTTTAACTGGTTATTGTATTTGTGAAATAGTTCTTGGTTGTGGATGCAAGTAGGGCTTCCACAATGTTGTGTAGGATGATGTCGTTTCCACTAGGCTTTTCATGCTAATAAACAGCATCGTTTCTCGAAAGCTGAAATATTTTGGTCATATCAAGCGCCAAAACGGATTGGAAAAAATTATAGTAGAAGGCATGGTACCAGGAAGGAGGGGCAGGGGCCGACCGACACGATGATGGGCACAGGATATAAGTGACTCCTTGAGTATGAAAGTACATGTGGCGGGAGAGCTGACGAGAGACCAAGTTTCTTTCAGGCAGACTGTGATGAGAGCGACGTTCTGCAAAGGACCTCCTACATGATGATGATGAGGCTTTTTATGAAGTGTCGTCTGATTTAATTTTGCTATAGCTTACACCAGAAAAAAAACGACCCCAAAGGTGGACTTGACGTTACGTCGTAACAGTAGGGTTGTCCTATTATAGCCGTGTTTAACGGTTGAACAGGGTTTCTAGATTTTGTTCATGTTTTTCATGCTTGAAATATTCATTCTACGGACAGCAGTTCTGGCGGGCAACGATGCCTGAGCAACCAACCAGCTGTAATAATATGATAAGAGCAGAACTCGGCAACACTGTTCATGCACGCAAGCGTGGTACGTGGAACTATTTCACTGACACCCTTTATTATTTCACGCATATTCTGTGATCTGATATCAACTGAATAGAAGCATGTTATTATGTTATAGATCATACTTTTTTTTTTAATAACTGTCATATAGAAAAAGGGTAGATTCAAACTGTCACCTTGAGTGACTGTGCAACATTACTTCAGCAGTATTGTACTAAAAAGTTGCCAAATCCTGCTATAGACTGAACAATAAACAGGTAGAAGATTGTCTTTTGCAAGATATTACATATTAGGCCAGTTAAGAATTTATGCCGCTTTGTAAAGTATACGTGCTTTATTTGAAAATTTCTTAAATCAGCATTTAACTGGTACAGTTAGTCGCTGGACGCTGAATGATATCTCGTTATATTTAACTGCCCAGAATCTTATATAGTACCCTTTTAATGAGGCTAAGTAGAGCCTGGAACCATATGATTCATAAAAGAAGTCTATGCTTCGATAGGGATTTTAACTTACAATCAGAATATCAGAGTACGTTACCAAACTTCCTCTCTCACCCCGCCTAGGTTACCTGAAATCTGGTCAGAGTATATTAAAGAATTACATCTTTTATATGAGATGTTTAAGAACCGCTGCCTGGGGAGGGGGGGGGGGAATAAGAGATAATTTGTGAAATCTAGATATTAGAAGAGCTGTTAGAAGAAATTCATCGTTAAACTGAGAAGCGAAGCATGTTTTGGCCACTTAAAGAGAATTAATCCAACAATGCCGGCAGTGACAACGTACACCAAGAGGCAGAGGTAGATAAAAAAAAAAGCTCTTCTGATAAACGGCGACACCTAGCGGGCAGAAAGGAGATATTTAACTTTTTTCCGTTGACAGAAAACAGGCTACACCGGTAGTCACTTTCACTGTGCGGTTAGCCTTTCTGAAAGTAATATTTTCTTTTTCTTTTAAATAGCAGTAACTTTGTTTCTAACACCAAGTTAGTTAGTTGGTTATCCCTTAGAGAGCGTGGCAGAACCAACCGCAGCATTTTAGGCTGTCTGGTTTACTAGAGAAATTTACGTTCACTTTTTGCCATTGAAACTGAGCGGTCGGCGGTCCATACCATTGTAGAGATCAATTCAAAGCGGTCTGCTGCCAAATCGTCTGCAGTCAGAATCGATCCAGGTATTTCGGAATTAGGAAGAGCGTTTGCAACACCTAAGTCACAGACGTCAACAAGTGCTAAAACACCGGGCACAAAAATGGGCGACTTATAGACTAAGAAAACGAGAACATCTAAGCACACAACCCTAGGACGAACGTTGATAAGAGAGGCCAAGGGTGATTTCATGAAAGATATCGAAAAGTTTGGAAGGAAATAAGGGAATGGATGAATAGACTGATAGCACCATAAAACGTATACAAGTTTGATGACGGATTTCGTTTCTTGGGCTTATACAAAATGTTCTGTCAATTTCTAGCTGCCGTTACTGCCTGTATTTATAAGTTTCGCGGTCGTTAAAAGCGGGAAAGTTAAAAAAATAAAAGTAAAAGTAAAGGACCCCTTTCCACGTCTTTAGGCGTATAGGGCATATAGGGCTAGACCTATATTTTTACAAACTAATCGGCACAAGATGGGTGATCAGCATCACGCCGGCCGCCTTTACTTTCCCGGGACTGCACCCGGTACCCACTCAAGGCTGGGTCGATCTGGAAGCCAAGGTCATTTTTGAAAAAAGTCCGGCTCCGCCAGGGAGCGAACCCACGACCTTCCTATCCGCAACGAGCGTCCAGCCGCTCGGCCACGGCGACTCACAAAGGCTGGTAAGGGGGGTTTAACAAAAGGGGAGGTGGGGGGGGGGAATTAAGCGATTGAACGAATGAAATATCCCCATGCCGTTCAAATAATGATGTTTAAACTGCATGAACATTTGTTTAGGTAGGTCTTTTCAACAACTACTTACATCAGGGCTTCTGTATTCTTTCTTGTCTGGACTTCGTGACGACGATCGAGGATTGGGCTCGCTACGTGCAGTGTTTGGCTGCGATCTTCGAGGCTGGGACCTCTTGTCTGTGTGAGTCTGCATTTAAAAAGAGAACATTCATCTGGGTTCACATATTCACCCAACATTGTCTGCACATGACTGCTGTGGACTAAGCCAGATAGTGTTGCTGTTACGATTTCTCCAGCATTTAGCTTCTGCTTCAACTAGGAACAACCCTGTTGGCTTGAGTCGCCTTGCCATTCAGATTGGTATTATAGGTCTCGAGGCATGGTGTTCGCCTCGAGTGCTAGAGGTTCCGGGTTCAATTCCCGGTAAGGGCTGGGATTTTTTTACGTGGACTTGAACTTAGTTATTTCCCCTGGTCTCTGTGTAGTGAGATCGGACGCCCGTGTGCATTGCTGCGCACATTAAAAAAAAAAAAATCCCTTGGCAGTTGGAATTTGAAAAGAGTAGCCTCACGGTACTGCCTAGGCAAAATTTTGAGTTAAAAATCTACCCAAAGTATGTCAGGAACCTCGCCGGTGCTACAGAGCCTGTACACTGTGCTGGGCTTCTTCGGACTCAGTCTTGAGTTAGAAGAAGAACGGAGCACTTTTGGTTACTACCCGTGTGCAATGATGTTAATCCGTTGTTCAAACTTCAGACATCAGATTGGGATTTAGGACTCAAACCTTCAAGGAGCAGCTGCTAGATTTTCCAGTTATATAGGACCCGAAGACTCTCCTTTTTTTTTTACTTACAAGATACGCCTGACCAATTTATAACGATTCTTTCATATGGGTCGCCTAAGACCATCGGAAAACACATATTCACTGAAGGTAGGAATTAGCAACGAAAATAATTGTATAGTTTGGGGAGTTGGGGGTGTGGGGAGTTGGGGGAGTGGGAGTTGGGGGGAGTGGGGAGTTGGGGGAGTGGGGAGTCACCACAACCTGCATTAAAGGGTAGCCACATTAAGAAGGTTGAGACCCATTGCTTTACACATTGGTGGTGCATAGGGCACATCTGAGGCAGGCTCACATTTTATAGACTAACTGGCCCTTGATGGGTGATGTGGTCATCACGCCGGTCGCCTTTACTTCCCATGACTTCACCTGATACCCATTTAAGGTTAGGTCGGCCGGCGAGCCAAGGTCATGTATTTTAAAAATAATTCGGCACCATTCGGACTTGAGACCACGATCTTCAGATTTGCAGACAAGCTGTTAACCCTACACCACAATAGTAATATTATTAATAATAATGGAATCTATGCTGGAATCGTGAAAAATAGGTTTAAGGTTCGTTGTTGTTTCAAAAAATAAATACATCACATCAAAGGACCCCTGCAAATTTGTCCGCGTACCGCTTGGGATCTGCAGACTACCGATTGGAAAGCAATGCTTTACAAGGGACCTTTTTCATCTCTTTGGCGCATGGGGCATTTCATGTTAGACTCATTTTGTATAGCCCCCCCCCCCCCCCCTCCTCCCGGAAGGCGTAGATTTCGCATCCCCCTTCTTTGATATGTGATGCTTTCAACATCATGTCAGTCCGCCTTTACGTCTTATGACATTTGCTTGTACTCACTTTAGGCCGAGTCTACCTGAGAGCCAAGAACATTTTAAAATCAGTCTATAGTTGTTTGCATTACATTGTAATAGCAGCCGCCGTGGTGCAGCGATCAGAGGCTCGCCTGTGTATCAAAAGGTAGGGTTCAAATCCGAACGAAAAGCGGACCCCTCCACCCCCACCCCAGATGATTTTGGTTCCCAGAGCGACCCATAAATAAGCACCACGTATAAAGTTAGGGGAAATAAAGGCGAGTGCCGACTGGGCCGAATCACGCCCAGCTGCGTGAAAGAGCTGACTTGAGTTGATTCAAGAACCGACATCACAGCACTCGGGGCATTCACATAAGTGCTCTGTCCCCATCTTCAGCAGCCAGTGCAGAGTTCCAATACTAATGGTGCCAGTAGCATTCTGATTAAACGTCAGTCTTGCCTTTCCTCTGAGCCTTGAGCATCTGCCAAAACCCCTCGTCACTCCCCGCTGCATCAATCTCACCAGACTGTGGTGATTCATCTGCTCCTCCGAACTGTACACGCTCTCCCACAAGGCACTAACCACGTCTGCCTTATCATGCATCAGTTTTCCACCAAGTTGTGCACAGCCAGCCAGTCAGTCCGCCTGTTTATTTCCCACCACACCAGCGCTCCCGGAGAAAAAATCCAGACAATAGTTACCCGTGTCCTCCGCAGTGAAGCATGCCTGTCTTGACCTTCCTCATCATGCTTTCTGAGTCAGTTGCAATTACAATGTGTGTTAATTGCGTGAAGAGGCTCAGATACATTGTAAAGAGCAAACGATACAGAAAGAGGACATGAAAGTAACAAGAACTACAGCGAACTGCCCCTACCGTTTTGATTGGTGGCAGTTTATCTTTCTGGTCTTCCTCTCCCTGGCTGTTTTCCGTGTCACTGTCAAAATCGGACTCATAAACCGGCTTTTGCTGAAAGACAATTGTTATAAGTCATGTCACTGTGGTTTAATGAAAACTGGTAATAACATTCATAGGTGCCGGAACTTTGCAGCAAAGGTTCCTTGAGGGACCCCCACCCCGCCCAAGATTTTTTTTTAAAACAAACTAATGCCGGTGTTAGAAAAAAAAAAACACATCGCAGCACTATTGCAATATAAATAAGTGAAATTATGTATTAATATTTAACTCAACGTCATCCTACCCTCTTCACCCCCTCTCCCCCCCCCCCCCCCCCCCCCCAACGATGCATAACATAATTAGAATTCATTTTTGCTTATTCGAGGTTGATACATATACGATGATCCTTGCTGGAATGCCTTTTAAGTGTTATACAGCACAAATTTCAAATGTAACCAATCGACCTGTCACAAAAACACGCGTTTCTAGTGTTTGACATAAATTGCACAACTGTTGTGCTGAAAGTGTCTTAGTGCGCGATAAAATGAATGTGGTGAATCGTTTCCAAGTAACTTATGTGATTAAGGTTAGGACAATTCACGTAGGTGTAAAATATGTTCGTTACCTAATAAAAAAGGATACAAGTGATGAAAACAAAAAGGAAACTTCTGCCTGGATACAACTGAGCAGTCTAACTTTTACATACGAAACAAACGTTCACGTAGAGATGCAAAACAAAACAAAAAAATCACTTTTCCAAGATAAGTAATTTGTAAAAAAAATATCGAAAATAGAACAGTAAGAATTAAAAAACAAAACACGCACCTTAGTAAATAACGCTGATGTAAATAAATATGAGGAAACATGTATAAATGTGCTCAACAACGGCAAGGTAAACGAAGTGGATGTCTCCGTGGCATAGTGGTCAAGCCATTCGCCTCGCGCTCTGAAAGGCGTGTGTTCATTTCTCGGCAGCGCTGTTCGGTTCACGAGTGCAGTTTTTACGGAGATCCATTGGGATGTCGCAGGAGCTACAGAGTTCGGCGTTCTTGTGAGGCGGCCAGTCCTTCTGTCGAGAGACCGAGCCATATGGGATAAAACCCGGTGCCATGAAGTCGATCCTCTCGACTTTAACCTTTTAATTTGTTTAACATATGAATAAATTACTTGACATGCTCACTTTTCTCTTGGCTAATAGCGGAGAACGACTAGGGCTCTGTTCCTTAGACTTAGATCGTCTCAGCCGTTCCAAAAGTTTCTGCCGCTCTTTATGATCTTGCTCCTGAAAAATTGAAATAAATGTTCAAACTCCTTACGTGGCCATGTAAAAGCTGTTCTTTTCTTTCAACATATGATCTAAAAAATGTTTAATGTAAAGCAACTTGCAATGTTTATTTATTATGTTGGCAAAAACAATACCAAAAAAAAAAAAAAAAAAACTACATAACCAACTGATGGCACATTTCTGTCTTACCTGATTCCATTGGCTAAACATCAACGTGACGCTGCTTCGGGTACGTCAGTGTATTTATGTGGCTTTATTTCTACGTATCTACGTATGTGCTGATGAATGCTTTTCGTTTGTGTTTGTTATATTGTGAAGCTCGCTAATCTACTCTTCGTTCGGTTTTATATCTTTCCGGGAGGTATGGTAATCACAGCCCTTGGCGATGGCGAGTGTGACTAGCAAGTAAGAAACGCCTTCCACAGTTGCAGCTTGGGATTCCAGGACCGTTGTTGCCAACACATGTATTTGGTGTGCATCTTCTAAGTCGCTCAGCTTTCTACCTTTCTGCAATCATTTATCTTCCTTTATTGCCATTCCCTTCCTTATTCCCCCCTCCATGCAACACGTCCATGGCAGTTTGCTCCAACGAACCTAATTTAATACCTGCATCATTTATGTCAAACACAAATTCTGAAATCGCAGTAGAAACTGACCTTGACATCTTTTCCGATCTGTAATACACCATAGAGGACGTCCTTATAGGAATCAACCATCCTGTGTTCTCCAGTTGCCATTCAGCAACATGCGCCTTTACAGACTGAGCTCTGAGAAAACTTCTGATCTACTCTTTCCACTATTTCAGTGTTTGTGATCTTGTCTTATCAATAAACAATAAATAACTGGTAATAATTTAGAGATGCATTTTTCCTTCAAAGTCAAAGTGCATCTGCATTAGAGGGGATAAACCAACAGTCTGTCAGATCTGTAAAATAGACGTGCGACACTAAACACAAGTCCTGCAACAATACCAAAGTCCAGAAGTGGACAAACAACATTTTCCGTCTGATTTACAGCTGCTCAATGCGAAGAAGAACAGTAAGTGCATTCACGAGGAGTAAGATTAATTAAAAAAAAAGAGTGATGAAGATGTCTCTAAAAAAAAAACTGATTCACGAAGAGAACTGATTGCTCACATCAAAAGGAGACAATCTGCATTCTTTGACCATGTCATAAGGAGAAAACTTAGTATATATATTGACGGTGAGAAAAGTAAAGGGCAAAAGAGACAGAGGAAGACCGAGAGGTAAGATGCTGGACTGTTTGAAGTCATGGCATGAAAGATCATGTGTGCTAGAACCGACTGAGAGTACACGAGACAGAAGGTTGTGGATAGACATGACTACTAACGTCACATGGCATGGATTACTGAAAGAAGAAGAAGAACGAACGAACGAACGAACGAACGAACTTTTTTTTCAAAGGGTTACAAATTAGGCACGCAGGCCTGTCTTACATTCGGCCCTTCCAAACTTCCATCTTTCACACAGAAGAAGAAGAAGAAGAAGAAGAAGAAGAAGAAGAAGAAGAAGAAGAAGAAGAAGAAGAAGAAGAAGAAGAAGAAGAAGAAGAAGAAGAAGAAGAAGAAGAAGAAGAAGAAGAAGAAGAAGAAGAAGAAGAAGAAGAAGAAGAAGAAGAAGAAGAAAGAAGAAGAAGAAGAAGAAGAAGAAGAATTATGTTTAGTCGAATATTGAATGTTGAATTAGGAATCGACATCACAGAAATCGGGACACTCCCATAAGTGTTTAGTCCCCATCTTCAGCAACAAGCGAAGAGTTCCAATTCCGATGGTACCAGTAATCGTCCGACTCATCCTTCCCCTAAGTGTTGAGCGTTGGCCAGATCTCCTGGTAACTCCACGCAGTGCCATACTCCTTAGACCGTAATGATTATTCTGTCTTCATTGCCGACTTGTTCTGTTTACTAACTAACCAAATATGTTTGTTCTTGTATTCAGTGTTGCCACTTTGGATGTTTTACATTCAGATTTAGATGTTTTCCCTTGCATTTAGATGGCGTTTTTGACGTTTAGATGGTAGATTTTTTCTAGATGTTTTTTATTTTGAGTGAATTTATCAAATCTAACCTAAAAGACAGGATGAAATTTGACCTCTTAAATGCTATCTTGACAAAAAATTCGGCCTGATAAGAGTAGAAAAGGGTGTTCCACTTATAAGCTCCCTGATTGGGTATTAAAAGAAATTGGAACAGCTAAAGCATATCAGAGTCATTGTTCTTTCAATTTTCTGAGCGATGTGTCGGTTGTCAGCGGTGATGCGATCTTGTTCTCTTTGTCGTTTATCACCGTTCATGCTGTGTAGTAAAGTAAAATATGCAGAGAGTTTCAGTGTGGCATTACTATCAGGGCTGCCGGAATCTAGCGGTGCCGGCTCTTAACCTTTTACCCAACCCATAAATCTAACAAAGAGAGTGCATCCATTCCCTTAGAATACTTTTATGGGGGTTAGGGGCCACTCCCAACTATGTATAGAAGCTCTTCTTTTAAATATTTTGTTCTAAATTTCATGTTTCAAATGGATTATTATTTGTATCTTCTATTTCACACACTACTACTAAAATGACCACCACCAGCACTACTACTACTACTACTACTACTAAACCTACTACTAATGCTACTATTACTACTGCTACTGCAGCAGCAGCTGTTGCTATTGCTTCTGCTGCTAATAATAATAATAATAATAAAAATAATAATAATAATAATAATAATAATAATAATAATAATAATAATAATAACTCGCACGAGGTTTAGGAGCCTTTAGAATATTTTGTTTTTGTATTGCGCACGTGTTCTGTCTATCTATGTCTATAAGCCAGTCTATCTGTTAATTTTCCCGACTGTCTGGCAATCTGTTCGTCTGCTTGTCTGGCAATATCTTTTTTTCTGTCTGTCTCCCAGTAAGTGTATCTTGGAATGTATCAACCGGCTGATTGAAACTCAAACTGTCTGTCTATCAATCCGCATGTCTGCTTATATGTCCTTTCGTCTGTCTGACAATCCAGCTGTGTGTCATTTCAACGTATTTTTTTATTTTATCTTTAATACATCCGCCTCTCTCGTCTGTCTGTATTTTACTTCCTCTAATGGTTTTCTAACCTTCTGCTCTTTCTTGTGTCCTGATCCGGATAGTTACTCCGGGCCATCATGATAGCCGTCATTCTCTTCAACAATAACTTGTTTTCCCTGTCTGTCTCCGCTTTTTTCTGTTCTTCCGTCTGCAAAGAAATACAAAACATGAAAAAAAAAAAAACATCCTCTGGGTAGTGGACAGATGAAAGTCGTGAACTTTTTAGAACAATTACACGTATACAGTTAATGTTTTTGTTTTTAAAGAAGGGACGGATGTGAAAACTTGGTAAAAGCTGGCAATATTGATGGAAAGAGAGCAAAAGGAAGGCAACGAGATAAAAACACTGATTAGATCCATAATACTGGTAATCGTTTGGGATGGCGATGCATGACAGTTTAAGCTTCTTACCGCCACGGTACATGATGATGATGATGGTGATGATAATGATGACGATTATAAGCAGTGGTTCCCAAACTTGTGACTTGCGGAACCTAAATTATTTTTAAGAATCAATGTATATGACGGAGCTCCTTAACCCTACCATAGTCTATGGCCCAAATGGTCATAGTGTTTTAGAAGTGATTGTAGGAGCGGACTTAGAGGGGGTCAAATATATAGTAAACGGATTTAAGCTGGGTGGGGGAGTTTGTTTGCTTATTCCCGCTGAAGACATTAACGGTCATTTAAGGCAACCAAGCATTTTTATCTTTAACTGCAAAAGGTAATTGATAATTTTCTTATTTTAATTCTACTTTTTTGTTTCTTAATCAGGAATTTCATTCAGTTTTCAATTGCATTTCAGCAGCGGCCACGAAGCGCCAGGGAATTGAACGCGCAGCACTAAGGGCGCCACAAGGCACAAGTTGAGAACAACTGCTGATGTTAAAAGTAAGTTGAGTTTCCTTTACAGAACCAACCCCAGCATTTTTTGTGGTTTTTGGAGGCAAATTTCACACATTGCTTACTGCACGGTCAGCTCTCGGTGCCACTGTCGAAACCACGACAAGACAAATCGACCGCATCTAGGATCGAACCCGGCACCCCGGCATTACGAAGCCATTCTCAACGCCTGAGCCACGTGCTTCTGATAAAGCGTGATAATAAGTAAAGGAGTCCCATAGCAGCTACCACTGATGGGGTGTATAGAGTTAGGTCGTTAGCCTCCGTGTATTCTAGGCTACAGTATACAGTTAGTTCGACGTTAGTCTCCACGTATTCTAGGCTACAGTATACTGTTAGTTCGACGTTAGTCTCCACGTATTCTAGGCTACAGTATACGGTTAGTTCGACGTTAGTCTCCACGTATCCTAGGCTACAGTATACGGTTAGTTCGACGTTAGTCTTCACAGACCCCACCCTATACACACTATCTCACTTCTGACTGGTACCATGACCTTCCTACACGGGTACGGGGGGGGGGGGGGGGGGGGGGGTATTTCGTAATGCCGTCGATATCGTTGAATATATCAACACGGCAGCGCTTTTAACACGCCAAAAACATTGAGAAACTGGGTCTAAGACAATTCCCTTTGAGAGTGCTGCAACCTATGTCACAAGCCACAAGCATTTTCTTTCTCGGAATGAAAACGTAAATGCAAGACATCGCAGAAACCAAACAGAGCGGGACACACCCGCAACCTTCAGGAAAGTCGACCAGCCCAACAAACTTGTGAATGAATAGTGACCTACTCTATTTCGGGAGACCAACGTCGAACTAACCCAATATACAGTTATGGGGAGGGGGAAGGGGCTCTGTTTTAACAGCATGGGTCCCTTGACAAACCAGTGTGCTGGGGTCCATAATAAACTAATCAGGGGAATGAAATCTGTTTTATTGCAAGTCAACATTACCATTGAATTCCTTTGCTTGTGGGATCCGGGCAAGTGCCCAGCGTACCCATGTGTTGAGACGGCATTTGGAAGGGGTGGGTGGCGTGGGGTTGGAGTTAATGGTCGTTTTTTACTTCCCAGAAAATTCTGAAAATTGTCTGGTATTCATTTTTATGCCGAATGAAAAACTAAAAGATGAATGGAAAGGGTCTATCTATAAATAAGACAAAATTCGTCAATTCTTTCCCTTCGTTCGGATATTAAAAGACAATTCCGATTCTAGCACAGCAGAGATTTAAGTCTACAGTATTAGTTACTGTAAACACAACCAATAGTTTCTTTATCTTAGTGAGCTTGTTCACACAAATATTGATCCGTGTTTGTACACGTCAGAAATATAGTATGATTATATGATCTATCAAAGTGTCGCTGGGGAGATAAGACTTTCAGTACAGAAACAGCTACAATAGACAGTTTACCCTCAACGAAAAGATTGGTAGTGGTGAAGGATTTATGGCAGGGTTGGGCAAACTATGGCCCGTGGGCCAGAATTGTTGTTGTTGTGTAGGCCCTCTGACCTGCACATGAATCTCTTTGTATCTATTCTAAATCAAGACTAGCTTAACACGATAGGGTACTAACAATAGTAACATTTCTCCCAGATTTACGGTATTTACAATGGAATCAAGGCCGAAAGGTTGCGATATCCATAATACCGAGCCTAAGGGTTAACAACTCATGGCTTCTGGATACAAAAACAAACAAACAAACAATACACGATAGACAGAAGGAAAATTAAAAAAAAAACATGTTCAAGACTAAGAAGCAACAATCCACCCAAGAGATAGGCTGCCTTGAACAGCACATCTTACGAGAAACTTCAAAGATGAACATCGATAAATGGACCGAAAGAGTAAAATGTCACAACCCCACTGTGAACAGACACTATAAAAACATCGTCCTACAGTGAACAAGCGAAGTCAAAGAGTTATTTCAGACAGGGCAATTGTTTAAAACAATCCTAATACTAGAAGTTTTAGGGTTGCCTGGTCTATCCAGTGTTAGATATGTCAAGAAAAATGTACTGGGAAAGAAGACCGTAGAGATTATCTATCGATTGGAATAAAATATGGGTCTAGGAACATATGCCCGATGCACCAGAAGCACGAAAAGGAACTTTTATTTCTTAAAATTGAAAGAAAGGACTCCAAAATCGGCCAACCCTTAAATGGGTGCAAGGAAAGTCCTGGGAAATGTGGGTGTTTGGTTTGATGTTGACGCCATAGCCCGTAGAACTCCAGCTGGTTTATCAAAATATGGGTCTAGCACCATATGTTCAATCGTATTTAGTGCGAAAAGGTCTTATACTTAATTGCTTAACACTAAACGCTACGAATTCATAAAGATTCTTTTTTTTCTGCTGCGCCCGCTGCGGTTTTATATTGTGAGCTGCATTAAAAATGGCGGGTAGCCGATTACGTTCGGAATGTCGTGCAGCTATGCAGTAATGCATGCACAAATGCCAGCTTTCGGGACTGACCACATGCATCAATGGTTGGCTGCAATTCTGATGGGAGACTGTTAGTGTTGGCACATCTAAACAACTGCCTTATGAATTTACTCTGAGTGCCATAGCTTCTAGATTTTACTGGTACTCATTTGTTTTTTTTCCTTAGTGTTTTAAATGGGAGAGGGAAGGACATTTTGTGTGATTTCCACTGGCACAAAATCGAAGCATTAATGGGAGACCTGACTGTGGTAGAGTTGTCAACTAAACTAATGACTAAAAACAGATCTTCTCTGAGGGTAAACGAAAACAGCTTTCCCCCATCATAAGCAAGGGTACCTCTGTAATGTCAATATTAATTTTTTTTTCAAAACTGTTTATTGAAATCACAGATAAATGCCTCCCGGTTCGCTATACAATACGCCATTGATCTCCCGTTTAACCTGATTTTCAGAATCGATAAAATCGAAGTGCCTCGATCAGCGCCTAGTGTCTGACAAGTGTATATTTTAGAAATGCATGGGGCGTAGCGTTGAAATTAGCATGGGTATGTTCCAGTGTGTACCATGCTGTACCGGCTGGAATATGGGTGATTTATGGTACCACTTTCGCCCAGAAAAGTTCCTTTTTGTTTCGCAGTCCTACTGTAGATACTGTGTGCGGGGTGCCAAAGAACTGCACGAATATTAAGGTGCATGTTGGGGCACATATCACCGAATGCTGCGCTTTCAACCGTGCATGCTTTTCCAGTGACTGAATGAGGATGCTTAGTAATATAGAGATGGGCGGGGTCCGAAGACAGTAACTGATGTCTCTGAGAGGGTCGCCCCTGACAAAGATCTGTTCAATTTGTGTGCAAGGAAATGAGTAAGCTGATAGATTTGCAGGCAATAAAGGTAAAAGGTTAAAGTCGAGAGGATCGACTTCATTGCACCAAGTTTTATCTCACATGGCTCGGTCTCTCTCGGCACAATGACTAGTCGCCTGTCGAAAACGCCGCACAGAGCACGAACACTATAGCTCCGGCGACGATCCCACGCATCTCCGTGAAAATTGCACTAGTGAACTGAAGGGCGAAGCCATGGAAAGAAACCACGACCTTCAGAGCGAGAGGCAAACGGCTTGACCATTTCGCCCCAACAGCCATGCATTGTTTGTAAGTCGACTTCATGATGACACATCCTTGAAGAATGTTTATTTTGTTGAAAAGATGTTTTTGTTGAATAGATGTTTATCCCGTGTGGGTTCAGGGGGCCCTATGGTGAGGAAATGGTAAGCTGATAGGCAGGCAATAAAGGTAAAAGGTTAGAGAGGATCGACCCACTACCATCCCTAACAAGCATGTATTGGAAGCAAGTATTTAGGAATGTTTCCTTTTAGGTAAAGTGTATCTGCCTGAGAGGTGAGGAACCAACAGTCTGCATACAAATAAGCCAGATCAGTAAAAATATGTGCGCGCAAAATTGACAGGTAATGCTGCTGTGAAGGGCAGACATGGACCAGGCTTACAGACTGAATAAACTACGAAAAGTAAGACGTTTGCGTGAACTAAGTGACTGTGAATCGGTTACTACGACTAGACAGGAAGAACATCAAATTTAAAGGAGTGTAGCCAGACAAGAGCAGCATGCAAGAAGCCAGAGAAGAATAAGAAACCGACACAGAACTGGTGAGGTCAGTCCCTACAGGCTGCGGGGTTTACTGGAAAGGGGGACTTATGGACTGAATGGTTCCATGTGTAATGAGGATAATCTTTCCACTAACTACAGGTGTAATTACTATAGCAGGACGCAGAGGGAAAGAACCTACAATAGGCCATACGCTGATGTAGATAAAGGTACTCTTAGCGAGAATATGTGAATCCTATTTTCCAATAGACAATGATTCAAGCTGCATGCACATTCACCCTGACAATGAAATCAGTTCTTGACTGACCTACCTTTAATCGTTTCAAGCCTAATGAAATGTGAGGATAATGCGGTGATGGCTGGTTATCGACGTTTGGTCTCATCGTCTGCATCTGTGGAAAACACATACCAAAAAAAAAAAAAAATAATAATTAAACACGATTAAAGGATTACAGATTCTGAAATGTTATATATCTTTTAATTTTCAACTTGATTTAACTTACCAACTAATAATGGTCAGTAAATACATCAGCACATCTGAAAGCCCTAACATAAAAGGACGATCTAAACTTTTTCTTAATACTTATGTGATTGATTAAAGAGCATTAAAAGTCTTTGGTTAAGCACCAGCAAGGAGATCAAAATTATAATTTTGAGAGCATGCATCTTCCGTGTAGCAACATACGAATGTGAGTCGTGGACTATCTCTCAGTTCTTACGAAAGAGAAAAAGGCTTTTAAGCTGAAATGCAATAGAAAAAATATCAGAATATCTTGGACAAAGAAGAGGAGAAATACTGACATCTTGAAAGATCTGAACATCAAGAAAGATTGACTAAAATACAGCATCCTGTCTCGAAAGCTGAAATATTTTGGTCATCTCAAGCGCGACGAAGGATTGGCAAAAAATTATAGCAGAAGGCATGGTACCAGGAAGGAGGGGCAGGGGCCGACCAACGCAAAGATGGGCACAGGATATTAGTGACTCCTTGAGTATGAAAGTACATGAGGCGGGAGAGCTAGCGAGAGACCGATTTTTTTTTTTTTTTCAGGCAGACCGTGATGAGGGCGACGTTCTGCAAAGGACCTGCTACATGAAGATGATATGTGATTGATTTGATTGGTTAATATAAATAACGAAAGGAGGGGCAATATACACATTTTGACGGGCGACCTAAATGCTAAGAAACGATCGGAAAACACAGGTAGGTAAACATGGTTTAGGACTAATGAATGACAATGGAGAATTATTCACCAATTTCTGTGCAGGAAACCAGTATGTAATCAGTGAAAGCATTTCCCCCCACAAAAAAAATACACAAGGCAACGTTGGGATAACCAGATCATAAGACAATGAATCAAGGATTACAGATGATCGACTTTAATGTTCTCCTCTTCTCCGACGACCTGTGCCTATTCCACAATCAAATATTTCAGCTACGGTACCAAATAAATCAATTACACACGACAACTGCCTCAAACATAATATGAAAATAAACACAATCAACTTAAAGATAAAAGATCGACGTTTAAAAGAAGTTCAAAGCTATAAATACCCGGTGAGCATTTTACATATGATGGCAGAATAGACAGTGATACTTGAATAAGAATCCAACAAGCTAGCAATGTCACATACCAGTTGACTGCAATTCCGAAACACCCGGCTTTTCCAATAAAAACAAAAAGGCAGATTACGAATGCAGTCTTTATTACCAACCGTTTGCTATTTCTGTCATGGACATTGACGAAAGAACACGAAAGAAAAGTGACCAACTGCGAAATGGGATGTTCAAGAAAGGCTACCAACAAAGCTAGAAGAGATTATATAAGAAACTAAGACATTGCATGAACCATTGGAACAACACCTATAATTATATTCAGAAAAACAGTACTGCAATGGTTTGCCCATTTAATGCGAATGAATCCAATGATGCCAGCAACGAGAGCGTACACTTGGAAAATAGAAACACCAAGACGTCGGGGACAACAATAAGAAGATAAATTCAAGGAATCACTGATACCTTAGGACTACACAACATCACAGCATACGGGGCAACCGAGCGTGTCCTGGCTCGGATACCGATCGTATGTTAACTTGCCTCGCCTGGCGACACAAAACATAATATGGACAGAAAATGAAAGAAAGACTTCACGGCAACGAGTTTTAGTTCATAGTGTTCAGTCTCGCCCTGTAGAACGTCTAGCAGTACTGCCAAGAGCATGAATTCGTGAACTCCGGAGCTCCGGTGACAGAGATCTAACAGTTGCACAAGTGACAGGGTCTGTAAAACAAACCAAGGAATTTCAAAGAGCTAGACAAAAAGTAGTAGCAGTAGTAGATTTTACCCCACTATGACATCACACAAGCGATAAACACCCGATGACACAAAGTGCCACCATGCCGATGAGGATCACCCGTGGAGAGATTCAGGAAACCGCGTTCAGATATTAGGCCATATTTATGGCGGGCTGTATTGCGGCCCCTGGCAAGAGCCAGGGTGAAGCTTAAAAAAAACCGATCTATTGCATCTCACAAGTGGATGACGATCCTAATAATTACGTGTATGAGACAAAAAGTTTAAAACACGTAGCCACGAAGACCACGGGTATTCCATTAATGTTGTAGACTTAAAATGTAAACTTTTACATTTTATTATAGTGTTTAACAGCTCTAATTTAGTTTTTAATTGTTATAAACAACCTATCTGCTAATGGCAAACTGTGTCATTAGATTATCTTCCGTGTCATGATGCAAACTGTCACGCGTCTTCTCTCTCAGTCCCCTTTTGTCTCTTTTCCCCTCCAACTTTCCTACCGTCATTATATACTCTAGTTTTTCTTCTTCACATCACATGACCAAAAATGTAGATTGTCTCCTTCTGATGAAGGCAATCATTTCTCTTCTTCCGTCGGTTTCATTCAAGACGTCTTCATTCTTTTTATCTGTCCATGATATTCTCAGCATTCGTCTTTAAAACCACATCTCCTCTGTTTCTAAATAAGTTGTTGATAATTCTCCAAATGACCATGATTACTTCGTAATGCCGGGTTTATCCCAGCTGCGGGCCATACGCCTTGCGTTGGTTTCGACAGTGGTATTAAGAAAGCCGACCGTCCAGAAAGCTATGGCAAACTACTAAACGTTAATTTGCCTGAAAAAACCACAGAACAGCCAGGGGCTGTTGGGGTTAGTTCTGCAACGTCCTATAAAGGATACGCAACTAACGTCCATGAATCATTTCCGTATGTCACTATCTTGTTATCAGTAAGGATCCATACAGCTCTTGAGCGCATAAAATAGGTGCGAGGAAATATCATGGGAGGTCTAGGCGACCGGCGTGAGGTTAGCTCCTTCACCCATTGGTCTAGCTTCATCAACTTCACAGACTTTGAATCTTTCGGCAACGACTACCGTACTCACTCGAAAATTTAATTTCATGCGACGATTGGTATGGAAGCCATTAAATCAACGAGGTCATCGTGGTCTGAGTGCATTACGAACAGATTTAAAACAGGAATGTCAGGGAATGCAATGTTTATAAAAATACTCTCAGGAAAAGAAAATACTCGCAGACCAAACACAGCAACGCAAGAGAAACTGATCGATTAGATTATATCGACAAATGTAATTAATTACGATTCTATCATAAAAAAGCAAATTAAACTTTTAAGCAAAAATCGATGTCAAAAATCTGAAATACGTAACAACAGCAGGTTTGGGGGAACAAGGCGATTGTTTGATGAGAATATCAAGATTCTAGAGTGATCGAATGTTTGAGTAACTGATTTTTGGTTGGGTAGTAAGGCATCTTCCTATATCTTAAGGATAAAGAAGTAGACATAGTAATTTTTTTTTTTATGTGGAGTTAACGTTAGTTGCGTATCCTTTACAGGACATTGCATAACCAACCCCAGCCTTTTTTTGGCTGTTGTGTGTGTGTGTGTTTTTTCTAGGCAAATTTACGTCCAGTGGTTTAACATTGCCCTGAACGGTCGGCTTCTCGATACCACTGTCGAAACCAACGCAAGGCGCCAGGCTCGCAGCTGGGGTCGAACCCGGCACTCCGGCATTACGAACCTGGTTCGCAACGCCTGAGCCACAGACGCCGACTATAAGTCAGACCAATCGGCACTCGGGGAGTTATGTGGTCAACATCACACAGGCCGTCTTTACTTCCCAGGATTTTACCTAGTACCTATTTAATGCTGGGTGCACCTGGGAGCCAATATAATTCCAATCACCATATAGGGGGTGCTTATTTTACAGGGGGGATCACTCTCAGCACAACCCGCATAGAAGCGTTACAGTCCCTTTCCAGTTGCCACGTTTCATTTATTTTCACACGCAAGATGTTTCCACACCGGGTGTTCGTGCCGGTCGATGGCTGCTTCTCTCAAAGAATAACTTCCATTATTATTCTTTCCAAACAACTGCAGCATTTAATGCGGCGGAAGTATTTTCCTTCTCCTTCTGCATTCACTCTTAAAAGATCGGTTTCACGTTGTGTTGTGGTATACAGCTTGGTTGCCATGTCTTGTGCCTTTCACCCCAAAACATCCAATTTCAGTAAACCTTGAATTGATCGTATTTTACGATTTGCTTTCTAAGGCGTAGTAGGCCTCCCCCCCCCCCTTTTTTTCCCCCTCAAACTCCATAGGGTCCTGAAACCCACACTGGAAGAGGCATTTCAGTTTCAGGGCTATGGTATTATTAGAAGCTTAGCACACTGCACAGGCTCTGTAGCACCGGCGAGAATCCTGAAATACTTTGTGTAGATTTTAAACTCCACATTTTGCCTGGGCAAAGCCGTTATGCTACTCTTTTCGATTTCCAACTGCCAAAGAATTGTTTTTTTTTTTTTTTTACGTGCGCAACAATGCACACGGGCATCCGAGCTCACTACCCAGAGACCAGGGGGAATTATTATGTCCAAGTCCACATGAAAAAATCCCAGCCCTTATCGGGGATTGAGATCGGAACCTCTAGCACTTAAGGCGGACACCATGCCCTGAGACCATGCAGCTCCCCTAACAACCTTCAGAACGATAGCAAAGTAACGATGAAGACACATGGAAAGATGAATTATATATCCTAAGCTGGCAGCTGAGTGAATGTCAAGAGTAAAGTTTTAACAGATCGTTAGAGATATAGTGTAAGTGACCTGAGCAAGATTTAACATTTAGAAACCTTCACTAGCTGTAATGAAATGATCATGGTGAGAATGAATCGGTGGATTGTTGATCAACCAAAGAGGAGAACGGCAGAGATTCATTGGGTGAGCCGCTGGGGCTCTAGGCTAGATGTAAAAGTGAACTATTATAGCGAACATTAATTACTAGGAAGTGAAGAAAAAGTGAACTATGTGTAGTGCCCGTGAAGTGATTACTTGTTAGTTGCAGGCACGAGATCGGCACAGCGAAACTGCTGTTTAATGTTAATGTCAACAGTAGAATTGCGAAGTATTTTTTGTAACAAAATGAACTGTGTTCACGCACCGTTCTTATAGGTGGGGTGACGTTTTGTTTTTTTTTTATTGCTCTTCCTTTAGTGCGCTTAAACCCACGTCCCGTAGTGAGAATCAAAGTAAATGTATGGCGGCAAATATTGGGGGAGACAATGTAAAACTAAAAAAAGGGTAGTGACCGAGGAGAGAGATTGACAGTTTGAGGAAAAGATCACTCCTTTAGGAGAAGGATTAACAGTTGAGGGCAAGGGTCAATGGTTGAGACTGATCAATGGTTGAAGAGAAGGGTCAGTGGTTGAAACAGATAAGTGGTTGGAGGAAAGGATCAATGGTTGAGAAGGGTGCATCTATGCCTACCTGATGCTTCGATGTGCACTGTATGGTGCAGTAAGCGATAAATATGCGTGTGTGTGTCAGTGTGTGTGTGTGTCAGTGTGTGTGTGTGAGTGTGTGTGAGTGTGTGTGTGTGTGAGTGTGTGTGTGTGGGTGGGGTATTCCACCTCGTATGTGATGTAGTTATGCGCCCCTTACTCAGAGTATTTATATACGTTTATACGAAGGATCAACATCATAGCCCAACGGTGGTGACCCATAAGTGCTTCACACTACTTCTAACTCAAGCCTGAGCCCGAAGATTCTCAGCGCAGTGCACGAACTCAGAAGTACCGAAGAGGATCCTGAAATATTTTAGGTAGATTTTTAACTCCACATTTTGCTTGGGCAACGCCGTTAGGCTACTCTTATCGATTTTCAACTGCCTAGGGATTCATTACGAGCGCAACAATACACACGGGCGACCGATCTTACCACGACCACCCACAGCAGTAAGGTCAAATTGGTCTACGGAAATTCCTGTTTTGTTAAACCGGTCCACAAACGGTTTGTGCTCACCATTTTTATCGAGTGAATTTACATACAAATCAAACTACCTTTTTATTTACTTGAAACATATTTTATTAGCGTTATTCTATTTTCTAATGGCTCACTTATTCATCTTCGTAGTGACAATTCATAAAAAGAAAAAAAAATGTTGCAAGGTAATTAAACTTTAGTTTAATTCGTGAACCGGAATTGGAAACTTCAGAGCGCCTGGCTTCTTCTCCACGGAAAAGCCAAGTTCGGTTATACTTATCCCGTCCTGTTTAGGATGAAATCTTTCGTTATTTGCCCTATTCTGGCTCTTGCCAGGGGCCGCAATATAGCCTGGCCATAAATATGGCCTAGAGGCTGAACGCGGTTTCTGGGACCTCTCCACGGTGATCCTCACCCGCATGGTGGCACATTGTGTCATCGGGTGTTTATCGCTTGTGTGAGTGTCCTGGTGGTGTAGAAAGTCAGTCAGTCAGTCAGCCAAACTCGGAATATTGTTAATTTTATGAAGCACATAAGACTAATCGATACGTGTAGTACATATTTGAAGGATTTTTAAAATGTTATTGCTGGAAGGCGAAATTATAACGGAAAGAGGGGACGATGTGTTGGAAGGGAAAAAAGTATAATTAACCCAACTAAACCTGACCAAACGGAAACAATGTGACAGCCGTTCTAGACAATGAATACTGATCTGCCAGTGTGAGTACTGACTTATCACCGTTTAAGGCGTACAAAGCACAGCGTAAAGAGAGTGGGAATATTTCTAAATAGACTTACCCGGCGTCTGTGTAACAACAAATGTCTGTCATACTCCCGGTCAGACATCATCCTAGTATCAACACTTTTGGTTGCCATGGTAGCGATGCTGGTTGACCAGCCACTGTCCCTTCACGTCTGCAGAGAAGCAAAATCATTGGACTAGTTTTGTAAGCAATGTTCACCCAAGTGTGTGGGAATGTGAATATGATTAAATAAGCATACCATTAAAATTTGGTCGGTTAGCTCAGTTACGCTACTAATATGAATGTAGTGATTTCTATCCCCTGGCCTAGGGCAGTTGCTTTTTCGGACAGGGGGGGGGGGGGGGTATGGGGGGGGGGGGGGGTGTTAAGTTGTTTGGCACGCGCTTAAAAAGTCGTTAGTTTGTTCACCGCCTTCTCTAGAATGAATAGAGAAGGCCGTGGTTTGTTTCACGGCGTGTCGCTCAGTTTGCGAGTGCAGTTTTTACAGAGATTTCCGGAGCTCGTCCCCGAAGCTACGGAGTTTGGTATACTCCTGGCCCCTCTTTAGAGAGGGGAAGAGAGAGAGAGAGAGAGAGAGAGAGAGAGAGAGAGAGAGAGAGAGAGAAGAGAGAGAGAGAGAGCCATAATCCACGCAATTGAGACAATCCTATCGAATTTAACTTTAGGCAGCGAAGGTTATGATCTTGCAGAAATATAATGCAGAAATAAACGACCACTTCCATGTCATCTGGGCATTGGGCATGTGGTGCCACATCCAGATTATATCTTCTTCTTCTCTTCTCTTCTCCTGGAATGCCTAACGGCGTCAGGGCATAAAGAGATCTCTAGAACATGCCCTTATGTTCGCTTCTTTGTTTTTTCAGGAGTACTTTTTCAGATGTCTTACGGCTACATATTTACTTCTTCTATTTGAAGAGCCATATTCTGCGTTTTATTTGTCAACCTCTAGATCTGGTTACCGATATGGTATCTGCATAAAAAGCCCAACCCTACCCTGCTCCCCTGGTAGGGTGCAGTGTCACTATTATTTGCTTCCCGTGAAGGTCCCTGTCTGCTGCCAATCTTGTTACATGGCCAAACCATTTGATTTTTTTGTCTGCCTAATCAAGTTAAGTATTGGTTCTGTGCTGACTCTTTTCCTGATATCATCGTTCCTAAGTCGATCTTTCCTCGTTACACCTAGCATATTACGTTAACATTTCATTTCTGTCGTGATTATATTCTTTCTGTCTTCTGAAGACAGTGTCCATGTTTGACATTGACAACATAGCGCTGGTAAGAATAGTTACTGCCCCTTTCATTCTAGTCGGTTCCTGATATCTCTTCATTTTCTACGAGCGCTAAGTAAACCCCTGTCGGTTTGCTGGACAGGTCCCGGTGTTTTCAAACTTTCTAGAAAGGTCACGCTTGAACTAGACTATCACATTCAGACTAGTTTAACGCAACTTTCCACTCTAGGATGTCTGAAACTGACCACGGTTAGATGCTGGTCGAAAAATAACCACCGCCTCGCCTCTCCGTCTTGACCGAAACTGAATACCAGATTGATACTATTCAGTACTGTTTAAAAAAAAAAAAAACCCATAGTTTTCCAACGACAAGATATAAAACCGAACAAAAAGTAGGTTAGCGAGTTTCAAAATATAAAAAAAACACACAAACGAAAGGCGAAACTTTGCGGCTACAGCGCCTTCATTAGTGCGTTAAAAAAAATCAAAATAAACAACACGAATACACAAACTCACTGAAGTTACATAGTTATCCAATATCGCTTTACTGTTCAAACCCCCCCCCCTCCCCCCTCCCCCTCCCCCCGCGTTGTTCCTTTCAGTCAGTAGCTACGCATTTATCTAGAGCTGTAAAGCACCTTCAGATAAATGTGCTTATTTTTTATTATTATTTCCAATTCCAGTTGTCCAACAAAAATTCCAAATTTGATCCTTTTTCATCTGCACAGAGGCCTGGTATATGAAAGAAGGTTCCTTGTCAGTCTTATTTGGTTATCTTTTATTTGTGGTGTGTAGTCACACCTGATATTCCGGTTCTTTGCTTCCTGAGTCCAGTGTGGTGCTTGTGGTTTTTGGGTCTGGTATGGTCCAGTTCTCTTAGTGCTGATATCTGTGGGTTTTAGCTTATTGTTGCTGGTGCTTGGTTTACCTCGTGCTGATCACTGCGCTGGTGCCCTATTGCTGCTCGGTTGCCGTTCTGTAAAGCCGCCGGGAAAAGCCAAACAAACACCATGTTATTTTTTATGCACAGAATATAACTCAACTGGCACGGGATGGATGACGTCAGTATGATGCCGGTTATTTTTACTTTTTTTTAAAATAGTAAAGTAAATGATAATTTTTACGCCTTCAGACATAATAGGCCTGTAGTTACAGTAGAGTAAAAGTGAAGGACCCTTTTCCACGCCTTGAGGCGTATGGGGCATTTCATGCTAGAACTATATATTGCAGACCAATCAGCACTTGACGGGTGATGTGCACAAGATCACACCGTCTGCCTTCACTTCTCATGACTTTACCTCGTGCCTATTTAAGACTGGGTCGACTTGGGAAGGGAAAGTTACTTTTTAAATAGTTCGGCTCCGTTTCAGGCCTGAACCCACGACGTTCTCATCAGAAGGCGAGCGTCTAGCCGCTGCACCACAACGGAATTTTTTACTTTATTATACTCAGCATTATTATTGTTTCAAAATGTAGGTACACTTAGAGCCCATTCCAGCGGTTGTAACTAAGACATAGATGTAGCCTGGACAGTAATTTTTTTAGGTAGACCCTAACTGTCACGTCGGTACCTCCCCCCCCCCCTCCCCAAATCGTTTGAAAAAAAACTTTTTTTAAGTACCGATGTGACTTAATCGAAACCTTGGTAATTTTAGTTTTAGCTTCATAGCAAACTGGGTCACCCCATGGTTGCTCCGCTCCTGTGAAAACGAAAATCACAGTTAGTCCATGACTGTCCCTTAGTGGAAAACTGACACAGACCGCCGTTTTAGCATATCCATTAGCACACACACGCATTAAAAGCATGCTGCAGCTATCAGAAGTGCTAACACAAACAGTCCGACATTAGAAATGCAGTTCATCATCGATGGATGCAGCATTCACACACAGATCAGCAGCTGCACACGCGATTAATTTTAATTCATATAAGGCACCACCAATTCTGTAGCAAAAGGACACTCGCCATTTTCTGAATCTACAGTTAACAACACCAGGCTGGTCACAGTCGAAAAACATTCCAAAATGAACTCTGCAGCTCAGAGTGTCACGCCATGCACTCAACTCAGTAGCTGAGCGACAAAACCATATTATTTCAGTCTAGAAATGGAGGAAAATGCAACGACCACCGTCTAATTTGCCACGACTTAAAACAGTGACCCGTACTCAACCTCTATTTTGACCGGAAGCCTACCCCTATAACCACATAAGTTACGTCTTTACAGCTCATATGCAGGGAGTGAGACCAGAAGGGCAGAATGTAAGACAGGACTATAAGCCCTGTTCCAAGTTTGAAAAAGAAAGAACATAAAATATATAAAGTATTCCTAGTACGTTTCCTGGTTTAAGATATGCAAGTGAAAGTTGAAGAACTAGTAAAGACATGAAAGGGAAGTTGAATGCATGATATCAAACTAATTGCCAAGGATAGGACGGAATGGCGGAATCGATTGCAAGCCCTATGTGGCCACAACAGGATAGTGAATAAGAAAACCTGATTCGTAGGTAAATTATAGAAACATTTCGGGCAAGCAGAAGTAGTTTAGAAACTACACTAACATTGCTTCTTCGCAGTAATATGAAAGTAATGTAATTAATTTATGAATGAGGTGTGCCGACACATACATGTTTTCCTTTTCTTCTGCTTTTGCCCACAAATGTGGGGGGGGGGGGGGGGGGGGAAAAATTGGCATGTGATATTGTGTTTTCCTGCAAGGCTGCGGTATATGTACCTTTCGGCCCTACATCCGAATTCAGCCAATTTAGTAGTCTTTTACGACATGCTTTTTAGAGGCGCAGTGGCTCTATTTATCCCCCCCCCCCACACACACACACACACAACGATTTGGATCCTGGAGCCCCGATCAGGAATGATCAAACACTAGCCAAAGGGGGGCAATACAGTCGAAGAAACTCTCCATTAACATACTGTTGAGGAAGTAGTCAACTTGGTAACCAGGGGTTCTGTACCAAACATTGCCGTGTGCTTCTGTGAAACTTAAAGTCAAGTCGCGCTGTAAACTGGTAAATGGAATCTGGTTTATTTAACTTGTAAAGGTTAGTTCAATTGCCGTTTTGATATGCATGAATGGATCTATTGAAAGTGCCCTAAATAAGCAAACGAAATCTCCCTATACAATTCCATTTACACACACACACTGTTAACTGATAATGACCTGATATGGGTTATTTATGAAAGATTGCGCCAAGTAACGGGCGGAGCAACAGACAAACGGCTAGGCGAACACGTAGACAGGCTTTGATGAGAAAGTAAACTTAGTCTATGTATAGTGAAGTCGGCCCTGTTGTTAAGGAAATATGAACTTCTTCTTAAGCATTCTGAGTCCTTGAGGTTCGTTGCTGTAGATATCACCAGTCTCCATTCATCGCTGTGACTAGCCTTCTTATATTTCCAGTTGTGGAACTCAAACCTTTGTATGTGTGCTCGAATCTTATATCTCTGTAGTCTTCTTAACCTGCCGTATCATCTACTCTTTTTCAGCCTCTTTGTCTACTCAGTGATAAGCAAAGCGAAAGGCATAATCTGTTTAAATCACAGCTAATTACTGGAGTCAAAAAGAATACTATCAATAATAATAATATTAATAATAATAATAATAATAATAATAATAATAATTAAAGGAAGAAGAAGAAGGAGAAAAAGAAGAAGAAGAAGAAGAAGAAGAAGAAGAAGAAGAAGAAGAAGAAGAAGAAGAAGAAGAAGAAGAAGAAGAAGAAGAAGAAGAAGAAGAAGAAGAAGAAGAAGAAGAAGAAGAAGAAGAAGAAAGAAGAAGAAGAAGAAGAAAAAGAAGAAGAAGAAGAAGAAGAAGAAGAAGAAGAGAAGAAGAAGAAGAAGAAGAAGAAGAAGAAGAAGAAGAAGAAGAAG